TAAAAATAGACGCGCGACACTAACGGCACTCCCGAATTCAGATGTGCGATATTTTGCACAACGATGAAAAACGGATTTTAAAAATTCAATTTCAACTGTGACATAATATAACAATGCCTTTGCACGGCATTCTCGAAATTAAAATTAACACGAACTATTCACAGCACAATAAAAATAAATGCGCGACACTTTCACGGCACTCCCGAATTCGGATGCGCGAATATTTTGCACTGTTGAGCTAATTGAGGTTGGAATAATAATACTAACTTTCTAAAGAATATCGATATCAAAAATAATAATAAAATTACTTAATTATACAATCAGTCGAGGAAATCAAATCTGAAATTTTGCTTCTATTTGCAATATTTACTAAGAAAAAATAAATAAGAGAAAAATTTTGATTTTAGAAGCTATACTGTGCTATAAAAATTTAAATGCTTTCGTGCTTTACAAAATAAATTTGCATTTGTTGTAGTAATAAAAGTTTTAGCAAAATTATATTTAATAGATTAAATCTCTGTTGTAATTTAATTAAACTTCCGACATATTCATATGCAGAATGAACAATATAGAAGACACATACATAAAAAATCTTTCTAAAAAAGGTAAAAATACGTCAAGTACATAAAACAATAGATTTGTATACAACAAATAGAAGTTTAAAAAATAAATATTTAAGATGCTACAAATAAGTTAAAAATTGTGTATATTAAATTTAAAATCTACTTATATACACTTGACGTTTTTTACATAAAATAAAAATTTATCACTCACTGATCGATGTATAAAAGCGGAGTTGACTACGTAGACTCGATTGATCTGTAACATACAAATATAATATTTAAATTAGAGCAAAGTTTATTTGAAGTAATATTTCAAAAAATTATTATTGTACACATCAAGTTTTGTGTTCGGTGTAATAACAACAGATATTTAATAGAATAGTTATACAAGAATCTTTTAAAAAACTATTTTTTTAATACAAACTTTTAATTTTAAAATTTTATACATATATATATATATATATATATATAAACCTTTTTTTTCTAGTTCTTGTTTAAGTTCAAACAAATGAATCAAACAAGATGAGAGAGAGAGAGAGAGAGAGAGAGAGACGTATACACGATTAAAAAAATTATATCCAAATAATAAATTACCTCAAGGTTGCTCCGCTATCGCCCGATGTCTCCTAGACCTCCTCCTCCTCTCAGACTGAGATTGTTCTCCTTGTCGAAGATTCGTTGCACTTGCACACTATTCAATCAGAAAATAAAAAAAATGATCGTTAATGACCATCGCGCGAATCATTCACGATAAGAGCAGAGCTATTTTTAATGCTACCATATACACAATACACAATAATATCAAATCATACATAACAGAATTTGAATATTAATTATATACATATGTATTTCATATTAGATCTAATGGAGGTTTATCTTAAAAAATAATAATTTAAAGTAAATAGAAAAAGCTTTAAAAGCTACATCTTGTAAATAGGTATGATATTATTATTACTGATTTTTTCACCAAAGTCTTATTGATCATATGTATATAGTGAAAATATAAGACAAAAATGAGCAAAATATATTTTCATTGAAGATCAGTGAAATACTTGATTTTCGGTAAAATCTCGTGTCACTTTAATCATGATATTTTCACTGATTTAGATTAAGAGAGTGAGAAACCACCACCTGCTTTCGATGTGTCACGGCACCGACAAAAAGCGCCGTGACTCAACGCTGCAAAGAGAAATCAGGTGACAGATCGATCTATCGACAGGTGATGAAGCCGCGTCTTCTTAATCTCGTCGTCACTTGCGCGCCTCGCTGATTCTCTCAGTTTGTTTACTATTTTTATTAGTATCGGAACTGCTATACGCGTTAAAAGTCTCCGTCGCAAAATTCATTGATGCGAAAAAAAACTAAGCGCTAATTTATCTCGTTGCGGGTAAATGAGAATAACATTCGTGACCGCGTCGATTTTTTTTGACGCTGCCGCGCCTAATTGGATCACCCACGTTTCGCGAAATGGCAACCATTGTCCTAAAAAGTCACCCGCATCGTAGGAGGTCTTCCCGGGGGGATAGATTTATTAATTTCATGGAATTGTTTTTCACGGATCCCTCTCGGACTGCATGTAAGAATCGCATGGTCTGATCGAGCGGAACCCCCACAGGCCGTGCCGAATTTCGGCTTCCCGTTGTCTAAGCTAAACGATCTTTTACTAAGACTTATTTCAGAGGGCTTAATTCTCTAGGTATCTAAGGGAAAGATTCCCCCTTCACAAAAAATTCTCGAAAAAATCTCTTTCCTGTTGATTAATTATTACATTTCATGATTGTCACATAATGATTCTGACACAAAAAGATATGAAAATAAATTCTTATTTATTTTCGACTACTGCTGTAAAAAGTTGTATATTTCATGTTAGTCTATCATTAATATATTTCATATATTTTATCAAGCAAATATATAATAAAAAATTTATAACAAAAAGAAATCTAGAAAAAGAGAAATAAATAGAATAAGTACAAATTAATAAAAAATATAAAATAAATAATAACTTTAATTAATCATTTAATATTATTCTAAAAAAACGAGAAAATACACAAAAATCTAAAATATTTATTTTGATTCATTTTAATTTAACCGATTACAATGTTACTGCCATTAAAATTGCAACACTTTTAAGTGTTATAATTTATCCAATATTTTTATTATTCTGTAATTGCTTGTAACTCGTCATATCAACAATTTCCAGGTACAAGTCTTCTTTCTCTGTGCGAGACCAGTGCATTGCGTGTAAAAAAAGACAAGGAAGGAACCAAAGCAAGAACACCAAATCGGTGCACCGCGAGCTATAAGGTCAGGAGGTCTGCCTGTTCGAATTGAATGGCAGCATTTAAAGCAGCTTATATAAAGTCAGCGCAAACATAATCGGGACTGTCGATCTTCAGCGGGTCCCGCGCTCTCGCCGTAATCCTCCGTGCGCGAGATGAACGCGTTCGCGCGGCTCCATTCAGCGGTGTCTTCGAGGATCCTGAGAAGATCTCTACACGTCGGTACCGATCATTGTGCGCGTCCCGCACGATACGGGACCATAATAAGCCCACGTCGCTTCCATATCGATGTTGTCCGGTGCTGATACGAGAATAAAGACCGTCCGCGGATCGAACCTCTCTCGTCGCCCTGATTTTCACTCTCTTTTCCCTCTTCCCGCTTCTTTCGTCGAGACAGATCCTCCTACGTCCCGGTCCTCTTATTGCGATATCGTGGATCGCGGGACCAAAGCGCGACGCGGAGTATGGTACACTCTCTGTACCGTCTCTGTATAGTCTATCTATATCAATACCCTCGTATTTCCTCGTCATCCCGTTGCCGGCGTGAATCTTGCGTCAGATAAGATCGTGATCGATCGATATTTCGCTTTCGTGTCTCCGCTCGAACGCGTCTCCCTTTGTACATCGAGAAATTGGGCGTTTCACGACCTACCTTGCGCAACTATTCGACTCGAAATCATAGAATATTTAGAAGACAGTCCTAAAATTACGCCTGGCGTAATATTCCGAAATGATATAAAATTATAAAAAAAGGAAGGAAAAATAAGAAGAACGCAGAGGAAAGTGTTGCGCTGCGAAAAGTGAGCGTTCGCATGAAAATTAAGGTCGTCTCTCTACGATTGTAACCACTGTCGTAACGCGCAGCCAAGGGCTAAGATCTAGGTGTAAGAGAGAAGAAGAGAAAGAGAGAGAAATGTGCGTAAGAAGCCCCGCCATCGCACAGGATGTCGGAATAATACACATTATAGTCCGGCAGTTATTATGTACAAGTCCGCCGACGTTCTGCCTGTGCAACGCGAGCCGGAAGGACGACTCCCGCGTGTCTGCTTTTCCTGCATGAATGAAATGTAATTTAAACTTACTCAAGTACCCGTATTTTCATTCATCCCACATTAAGGTACGGACGTTAAGGTACCTCGCGAATGTCTCCTGCATGCGACGCATAGACACGTCATCCGCGCTGAACGTCATCGAGCACCGCGAGACCGCGATTTTTCAAATCCTTACTCCCTACAGAGAGATTTTTATTTGGAGGACACCCGGTGTATATTCGCGATATAGCGCGATATATTGCAGAAAATTCGAATCGCTCCTCGAATCTTGGAAAGCGATTCTCGACAGCCTTTAATTTGACGCGACGCGGCGTCAAGGTAATGTCGGAGGAGATAGGGGGAGAGTAAAGGGGGCAGGAAGGGGCTAAAAATCGGTGAGGAATCATGGCTGGATGCACTCCCTCCCTGTGTTCACGCACTTTACCGTCGGCGAGTATCGGCGTTGCCCCTACGTTTTTCGAAGAGGGGGAGAACGCGGACGGACCTGTTGAGCGTCGTCGTGTCGAGAGGGATTGCGTGTATCGCGATGTGATGTACACAGCGACCGGCAACGAAAAATTGCAGCAGCGCACACGACGATTGCCGGCTCGGTTAAAAAAAAAAAAACTCGCCTCGCGACCCGCAATTCGCCGACAAGAAACATCCGGCCGCTTCCGGTCGAGATCCGGCTCTTCTTCGACTCGTTAAATCGTGACATAACGTTCGTCTCGTCCCGAATTTAAAATTATTCATTTTAATAGATCTCGAAAATTGTGTCTGTGTATGTCGCTGTGTTGGAACATATAAGTATTATATAAAAATTTCGATCAACGACGGGTGGAGATTTTTTATTGTCTTTAGAGGACCGTATCAAAATTAATATAGATATTCTTTTTATTAAAAAATATAGATATTGATATTATAATATTGATATTCATCTGATAAATTCAAAAGATGAATCATCTTTTAATATTTAAATCGTTCGAGCCAATTTCTTCCGGTTGTGTCAACAGGTAGAAATCAAAACAAAACAATGTACTTTCTTGAAACGTACCGCTTGCGACGCTCCACTTTCTCTCGCGCTTCTTTTTTTTTTTTTTTTAATGTCCCTCATCAGGATCATTATAATGGTCAACGACCGCGTACGACGGCGAACGGCACAAATTACATTTTACATAATGCTATCCCTACTCGATGCACGATGCGCTCGTCCTCGCGGAAATACACGTATAAAAAGAGAGAAAGAGCCAATGAACGAACGATTGACAGTTTATTGTTCGATGCGATTTCCGAAGATGGCGAAGTTTACAATCGTAGTCGCGATCGTAGTTTTGGCGAGCGTCGGTTCGCAATCCCAAAGGATAATTAGGGAAACAGCCACGGAAGTCCCAGGTGAAAGATAATTCATTGAGTCATTATATTAGAGTTAGAGTACGATAAGATTTTTAATTCCCGATAAAAAAATGTCAGCTTCTTTAAAGAAACTTTTGATTTTGTTTGATCGCAAGACGCGAATATCGCGGCCATCCGGGACATCCTGCAGAAGATCTCGAGCGGAGAGTCGAACGCGAAGGACGACGAGAAGCTCGTCGAGATCATTAAGGACGTGATCGTGAGGACCGCGGAGGAGGTAAAGATGCCCGCAGGATCAATCGACGTGGCCGCGAAAAAAGCGCAGATATTGGTGTCTGAATTGACCTCGGCGTACACGAACGCAATTTACAAATCCAATTCGTTCGTGGACGCTCGAGAGAATTTCGCCCGCTTTCAGACCACCGTCCAGACAATCGTGGATTTTATCAAGAACGGCAAATTTCTGATAGACCTTCAATAAACGTGAAGTCGAATATTCAGACGAATCTTTCTCCGGAATTCTGCTGACGACGTTACAGATGTATCGTATAGAATCGATAAATATAGTTGTGATTATAAATCATTGCAAATCATGCGCACATCATTTATTTATTTCCTTTTGTAATTATGTTAACGTTATTATAGGTAATAGGTAAAATATCGATATAAAGATGAGATATTATTTATCTTGCGTACGCAAAATGTGTGGAAGACTTCACTATCTTTACATCTCGTGTGCGGCCTCCCGCGTTGCGCACGCGAAAACTTGTGGTTCATACTTATATTTTCTCTCCGGGCAACAAAAAAAAAGGAGAGCGGAGCGCGGCGGTAAAACGTCAGAATTATTCCCGCTGACGTACGACTCAGATGCGAACGAATCCATTGTAAAAGCGGCGGTGGGCTCATAATCTGGCGATGTAGGATCTCTCCGACCCGTGGGGCTGACCGGAACTGCGCCTATGCTCTTTCGCCGGAAGCGCCGCGCTGCCACATGTAGTAATATAAATTATAATGCCTCTACGGTTTTTCCTTTTATGGATTTGCATTTAAAACACCGGAATGGCATTGTCGTCGAAATCGCCGAACGCAATTTTCATGGAAATAAGAAAGCTATCTGCGGCTCTCTCCCCCGCCGATATTGTACGATATATGTATATGCTTTCGCAACTATACCTTACAACTCTTCCTGTATCTCCCTTCCTCTTTTTTTCGATCGCGGAATTCGCGGAGAAGAGAAAATTTCGCGCGTCTCTTCTCTCTTCTTCGAGAATTCAATTCGCATCTAATAGTGCCAAGGCTGATCAAAGATCGTGGCTTTCACTGTCTTGGCAGAATAAACGAAACTTGTTTGCGCGTCTCTCTGTCGCGGTAATTTTTCGCTTCGTCCGACGCTTTCGGAGAAAGGAGACTTTCCACATCTAAAGGATAATGTACGTAATAATTATTCGCAAAATATACGAGTCGCCATTGTCGACGACGAAAAATAAAATCGCGATGCCGTCCCGGACGGCAGCCATCCATGAAAGTGGAAACCCGGCTCGTACGAAAGATTGATGGATGGCCTCTTTCGATTTCGCATGTAGGACGCGTAGGAAAATGTGCGCGAAATGCGAATCGCTCCGATATATCGTTTCATATTCGCACTCTTCTTCTTTTATTCGGCATAACATTTAGACCGTTCCTTTCTCTTCCGTTTTCTTTAACGCTATACCTTTTCTATCTGTGTAATATACCTACACCAATAAATTCTTTGCTCATCGTCCGGCATTGTAACTCTGCTGTAGCTTTACGCTACATCTATCTACATCTATTCTATAGAGCCCGAAGCCCGGCCTATCGTCGAGCTAAGTCCTTCGTTGCTTCGTGCATCGTCTGAAAATACGACGGAGTATCGGCCTCCCGGATTTTATCCCGGCAAAGTGATTCGACCACGAACTCGCAGAGAGCGCGGATAATATAACGCGCGGGGATGATATTTTGTTTTGTTGCGCGCGCGAAGGAGGATAATAAACATCGGGTACACAGTGCACAGAGACTCGGCCTGTGTGCGCTACTGACTAGATGGGCTACGACGAAACAATGCGGCATTGTGTACCGACAGCCTCAACAGCCGAAGCACTGCGGCAAAGCGAAGCCGAGTACCGTGTTAAGTCATGAAAACGACGCGCATACTTGTAGCCTCCTGAATTTCCGGATCAACCCTCGGTCGTTTATATACGAAGCCCTAATCTGACCTCGTTACGGTTCGTAAGTATCCGAAAAAAACCCTTCGTACAATCCCACATAATAATTATATAGGGGGAGAGGCAGAGAGACAGTGGTGCTTTTCATTATTTAATTTTGAGGATATTTAAATATTTATTTCTTCCGCGTTTTTTTCTTACACTAATTTTGTTGAATTTTTCCTTTATTGAATAAATTGTAAAATTCTCGCGCAAACGTGACACGCTGATAAATACGGGGGGCGAGGAATGTAGTTCGAGAGAACGAGGGAAAGGAAAACAAGTGTACCTGAAACTGCGCGATACCGAAAGAGTTTGCTCTCGCGGGAGCAGCATTCCGCGGGGCACAACTTAAGCCCGAGGCTCACGAACGGGCGACCGACGGGTCACGACGCCATGTGTGCGGCCTCACCCGACCACACCTACCACCTATTTATTTATGTCTACCTCACAGTACCTTTTACTCGAGCTTTCATTGCTGCACGCGCTGCGCGTCGTGAACAATCGACGGACAGGGCCCCGCGGCTCCGTGTGCTCGAAAAGTCCCCGACATCGCCGAACAAATCGCGCGAGAGGGATCGATCGGAAATCCACCACCTGCGTGCCCCGCAGTCGCGTCGTACGGTAACTTCGTATCTATACGATTGCGGCACGTGGAATCGCCGCGCGGATGATTCCTGGATGCGGTCGTATACGGTTCAAGTGTATGCAAATGCGCGCGCTTTAGGGCTTAGAGGGATCAAGGCACGAATTCCGAGAGTTAATAATAGGAGTATTCAATAACAGGAATGTGTGTATAACAGGAATGATGCCGACGCATCGACAGATGCGAAAAGAAATGTCGATTCAACTTATTGACCTAATAAACACATACAATTTTAGACGAGAGATAACTGACAAAAATAATGCTATTTCCAAGCTGCATCTTCAAGTTTTCTATATTCTAAAGTTTTATATATGAACATGTAATATGTCATCGTACGAAAAATAACAATATAAAAATATAGTGACATATTATTTCAACATTATTCCAAAATGTCTGAATTTTCTTTCTCTGACAATGAGTGTTCAAAGTATTCTCTTTACTGTAACGAAGAGAGCAATATACTTTTTCACATAAACCTTCATACATAAGCCTTCATTTTGCATATTTAAAACAATTTTTAATAAGAAGCATTTATTTCGAGATTTATCGAGTATGGAAATAAATACTTAACCAATCAATCCACAATTATTATTTTTATATTAGCACACATATCAATACATCTTAAATATGGAAAAATTCTCACGATGAAAGGACCTAAGATTAAAGTGGTCCACTAATCTAACGCGATTTCAGATCATCAACAAATGATCTCGCAGATTATTCTCCACACGCAGCTTCCACTTTGTATCTCCCGTGCAATCGCTTTGTATCTCGCGAAATGTTTATCGGCCGACATCGTCCTCACGATTTTGCAGAGTACAAGTACGAGATGCGCAACGCATTATTCATTTTCATCCGCAACTCGTAAAAAATGTTTCTGTTGCGCGAGAGAAAATTTAATTTTACACTTTCGAGTTCACGTCACAATCAAAAATTAATTAAAGTAATCATGTGTTGGATATTAAATTGACATCATTGCGAAATAAATCCACTGACATATTTATCGTGGATAAGAGGCGGGGTTGCTATTACAATTTACAACGGTGATAAGGCATACGTTGATGAGAAGACGATTATTAAGCGTTAGACACAGGAGAGAGAGTTTGCGCGCGAGAATAAGAAAAATTGCGCACTTAAGCGCATAGAAGCGTAGTCTTGACAAAAAACATAAGATCGCGATGTGCAAGTTACCGTTTCCGACTGTCGGTTTCCGGCCCGCTCGTTGCAGCGAGATACGCGACTGCGCGCGAACAAATATGAAAATTTCCCGAGTCGTCGCGCTTCGATATATTTTAACGCGCGCTTAAACATAAATCTGCTGCTCGATGAGCGGCGAACATATTTAGAAAGCACAGAACCGATGCGGACACGCCGTATGCGTCGACTTCCGACGGAGGTGTCAAAAATAATCGGATTTATCGCGTTCATTTTAATTCGATACGATCGTTTCTCATCGGCTATACATTTCGCATTGTGTTCCGCATATAAATTTTCCAAGATTTTCCCATACAAGTTCTAATTAAAATTGCTGAATTTGTCCCAAATAGATACATGCCGTATACCATCATTTGGAGAAAGCAAATGGAATTTGCTATAGGCTTTTTTAGAATCGCATTTCTCTAAAACATATTTCTGATAGAAATCTACAAACTATTTTTTGATTTTTTGAAAGTATAACTAGATCCTATAATTACTTCCTAGAATTTTTCTATGCGAAATGATACACATTGTCACATTGGGATATGTATGCACGATGATTCCTCTTTATAATTATATAATTCACAAAATATACACGTGACAAAAATATAGATATACTTTGCATCTCTTTATGTCGTAATTGTTCTTTCTGACATTTCTTTTTTTTTCATATGTGCTTTAATGATATAAAATAATCGTAATTTTTATTAATTTTTTGACTTCGCCAATGTTTTAGAATTAATCCGGTATTCGGCAAGAAACACAGTCGCCGCGGAATTAGTGCCTTAATTATCGTTTACCCTAACGTTCTTTTCTCTCGCATGTTCACCGTTACTTAAAACGGTACCCACTATACAAATACAGCACACCCGATGATTCGCCGCCGCTGCGCATTAAAGTCCGCGACCGCTAATAAACGCGCATTCCGGCGCTTTGTATCTGAAATAGCAACGTTGCAACACCATAATCCCAACCAGACCAGAAAATTAAGAGCGTGTGCCCACCTCCTTCGGTACTTCGTTAAAAAATGACTCGTAAAAGGCGACACGCAGTAAAGACGGCGCATTTCATCGCGGCTCGCTATATTTGTCCATATACTGTATAAAATCGAGATAAAAAAAAAACGTGTTATTAACATTACTTCGAAAAAGGAATCTTTTCCTCGTCATCTTACGCGAAATTGCGGAGAGTCGACGGGAGACTCGTAAAAACGTGATGCAATCGATGGAAATGGTTTCCTCCGCATCTCGTTTCTTCTTCTCGTTAAGAGAAACCGAGGGAGAAATCTCGCAAAGTGGATTTAAGTGCGCAATGGATTGACCCGTTATACTTAAATCACGATTTCGTATTCTTATCTTTCGCGTGTCTTTCCGGTCCAGCTCGTTGCGTAGCAAGTACTCGAAGCAGAACCACCTG